ATTAATCCAGAGGTTGCAGATGGTGTGAGTTGCTAAGGCCATGCAGGTATGTTTGGGAATGAGCAGGCAGATAGGTGAGCTGGACTGGCCCCACTTGTGTACTGAATCTGCACAAGGCAAGGGTCATTCTCGCCAGTGGGATGAAGAAACAAGTTAAATGGAAGATATTGAAAATGCATACCTAAAGAGAATGAGGCTGCAGGTAGTGTCTATGGGTTCTGGGTGCCACTCGAGACTAGGGCAAAAAGCCAAATGAGTAGTTAACCAGATAACGTGTGATTTTGTATCATTACCCTGACGACTCACCTTTCAGCCTGAAGGTCTTTGGTTTAAATCCATACGGAGGTGGATTTTTGTCAAAATTTACTTTTGCTTCCAGGCTGACCCAGCCTAAAAAGGGTACTAAAAAATGTCCTGGGAAGTAAATGCGCCCGGCATAATGTTGACCACAGCACCCACTGAGTGCCAGCTGGTCTGTCAAATGGAGATTAGCATAAAATGCCCTATGCGCCTGTAATAAACCTTGGCTTGACTTGGACTGCGCTTTGGCTTACTACTTATTGGCTTTCGCCACGGCTCACTCTCTGGATGTTTACTGCTACAAAACTTTCACTGCTTTAACGTCTAGGGTTGACAACACAAACGCCGCTCAGCTTCTTGGTACATTCTGTCAGTTTATTCTGGTCCATTTATTTCACATGTTCAAACATTATTCACACTTTATCACTCGCGACATATTCGAACATTAAACATTTGCAACATAAAGACGACATCTTCAAATACTACAACCGTCTTCTCTGACTTCTGATGATCGACTGACCACGAGTTTAGCTCGGGCTTTCCCTCGCTTCCTCGACTAGGCACAAGTATCTCGTGCTGTCCCTTGTTGCACGGACTTTCTGCTTGCCACTATGTAATCGTGAGGACCATGCAAAGCAGGGTCATTACAGCGCCTCTGGCTTAAAAAGAATAGTTTATAGTTTTAGGCAGCATTTCATAACAATACCTTACTGAGTATAATTTAAATAACCAGTCTCAAGAATTTATGAGGTAAAGTTTAGAGAAGCAGCTGAAATAATGTATGAACGAATGAATGAATGAATGAACGAACGAATGAATGAATGAATGAATCAGTCAGTCGATTGATAAGTCAATCAAGAATTGACATCACTGCACTCAGGACATTCTCACACGTGCTGGGTCCCCTTCTATAGTAGCCAATGAGGGGGTCAGCATGTGAATAGTACCAGTAGCCACCTGATTGAAAATCCACCTTTGTCTCCTCCTCCTCCCCTCCCCACTCCCCCAATCAGTGTTGAATATCTTGCAGAACCCTATGCCCTGGATTCTACACAGGAATGTTTTGATAACTATGGTCACGGTTGTTATTTGTTTATAGCAGGAAAAGCAGAGTGCAGAGTTAATTTTTATACATTTGGTCTATATTTGTTTCTGACTAGTGTCTGATATTCTTTCTCTCTCTGCTTCTATTTGTACAGAAGCAATTGGCATCTTTGAAACAGCGCAGTCATAACATGTATGTGGTTTTCTTTTCAGATTGCTCGGCTGTTTCTGGTGTCAGATATATTGTTCAACAGCAGTGCCAAGGTTCCCAATGCATCTTTTTTCAGAAAATTGTAAGAATTTTGTAACCTTTCTTGTATCTTTCATTATCACATGACATTTTAACATAAAACTACCAGAAAGAAAGTAGAACCCATTATTGCAGCCATTATTGATAAAATATTTTGAAAGTAGAGGTGTCTTAGATGATCATATGCCAGTTATATATTTACCGATTTAAGACACAGCATCTTAGCACGCTGATTACACACACAAGGATTTTCCTAATTTTATTTGTCCATTCTTGTGGGATTTACACCTGATTACTTACGTGTTCATTCACATTCTTTCACATGTTATTTCATTATACTACAAAAACTACAAAAAGCAAGAAGAACCCATTATTGCAGTGATTATTTTTAGAATGATATTTGGAAAGTAAAGGTATCTTTAATGAAAGAAATGATGATGCACATTGGCAAGGTAGCAGTAGTTTTTAAACTGTAATAAATTATGGAGCACTAAATTATGTAGTTTTAAAAACCAAATTATGTATTTTGAATTTTAAAATTATTTTATTTTAACATATGTCAGTGAAAGTTGTGAAACAACTAAAGAAATGGAATGAACGTTCAGTGAATTTGAAAACATATGTTAGCCCTTAAAAAGTGATTACCACATTGCATAGTGGTTTACAGCTAGGCTGCAGTATCTGCACCTTTTAGCTCAATATATCCGATTTCATCAGACCATTGATTAGTCTTTTATGACATTTATGTGTGTGCATGCCCAGATGGTCTAAGAGAGGGCTTTTCAACTAAGTTTACTCATGGGCCAAAACTTTGAAAATGGGGATCACCATGGGCCAGTGGCCTGAGCCCCAGCGTAGAAATATCGTGGATACAATACAGCCGACAATGATCTGTTAACGACTTGCTAGCCTCTGTGAGCCACATTGGACCCGCAGGCCACCGTTGAATAGCCCTGGTCGAAGATGTTACAAAACCCAAATGGTGAGAGAACTTAAATGGCCTAAGTTGTTGTGACGTAACCCAAATTGTCTAAGTTGTTTGTGACAGAACTTAAATGGCCAAATTGTTTGTGACTGAACTCAATTGGCCGTATTGTTTGTGACTGAACTCAAATAGTCAAGGTTAGTTGTGACAGAAATGAGTGAGTATGTGGTGTTCACACTAAATGGTGTTCACTCTATATGGTGATCACTCTGTAGTTTTAGACCAGTTGGCACTCGATAGCTGCTATGGTCAAAATATCATGCTGACCAATATTTCCCATATAATTTCTTACACCCATTTAGAATGGGGTGACCTCAGAGCCTGGGTCAGTTAAAATGTCTGCCTCAAAGAGGATTCAAACATATCACAAGTTGAGAGGCAAGCAGGTTAACTCCTGAGGCACTAGGCATTTAACATAGAACTATGAGATTTTGAGATCCACATCTAAAGCAGACTGTTTTCAAAATTGACCTTGGCTGCCACTTCTCATCATCATCATGTGTCCTGCCAACTGGCGTAGACGCTCATGCTTCTCCACAGATCATGATCCCTGGTTACCAGCTCTCTTGATGATATCCCTCCATGCCATTATTTCAGCTCATCCCGCATCATTTCTCTTGTTCTGCCTCTAGCCCTTTTCCCACTGATCTTTCCAGTTGCCACTTCTACCCCGCCTAAAATTGGTACCAGCAATGTGCTGAAATGCAAAGGCGACTGGCATGATGTTGACTGCTCTATCCATCGAGTGCCGGTTCTAAAACAAAATAGTGTGCATTTTTCATATTTCCTGTATGGTGTGAAGTTAGCCTTTTTTTTTTAAAACTAAATTTTGAAATGTTTTATCTGTCATTGTGCAGTTTCCAGGCAAAGTTAAAGGAAATTTTTAAAGACGTCAATGAATCATATGAGAAGATTGAAGGCAGGTTGAAAGCTGAACAGTTTAAGGTAATGTTGCAAGTTTGTAAAAATGTTTTTAAAGGAGAGTGAAAATATTTATGCATGAATTGTCGATACACTTTCTAAAATAATGTCTTTGATGTCACTTTCAATGCCAATATCGCAGATATAGATAATCTATTTCAAGCGAATGAAAGTAGAATTATTTTCACTGTTTGTATGGCTTAGGGGTTATAAATTAAGTTTTATAATCATGGCATATCGAGGTTTAAAGCTAGCATCAAACAGCAGCCTGTTTAGCCTTAATTTTTTTGGGTAGCAGTAGCTGTGTTGTATGAAGAAATTTAAAACGTCAGAAACTGAATATCTCGGCTCCATAATAAACAGCAGTGGAGACAGTTTAACAGATTACAGATGTTGAAATGCAGATGGCCAGAGCATTACAAAAATTAAGCAGCATTAAAAAAAATCTATGTCTAAGCACCAGCAAGCATATGAACGTCACAATTTTGGAGAGCATGCGTTCTTACCTGTAGCGACATAGTGATGTGTGTCATGGTGATCTTTCAGTCCTAATTGAAGAAATGGGCGCTTGTGAGCTGAAATGGTATAAAAAGATTATGAGAATACTGGTTGACCAAGAACAGAAATATTAACATCCTAAAAGATTTTAACATTAGCAAACCAGCTTCTTTCTAAGAAACAGAAATATTTTAAAGCTGGCGAGCGACCGAGTTTCTTGCAGGCGGGTTGTGATAAGAGCAATGTTTTTTAGAGGACCTGCTACGTGATAATGAGATTTGTACCATTAGAAGTTAATGAAGAAGTACTGAAAATAAAATTGCCTGGTAAAACCACCCCCCCCCCCCCCCCCCCCCCCCCCCAAAAGTTAGTTGCCTTTCCGTTACAGGAATTGCAAAACCAACCTAAGCATTTTTTTATTTTCTGTTTGTTATTTTATTGGGAATTTTACACCTAGTAGTTTGCCATTGCTCTAAGAATGGTCGGCTCCCAAAACCATGGTCAAAGTTAACACAAGTTGGTCTAATGCAAAATTAGCTGCAGCCGGCAATCAAGCTTAGCATTACAACAGGAAACCCACAAAACAGCCAATAAATGATCAGGTGGTCTGTAGTGTCCTGTAAAAGACTACTTGACATGTGAAATGCAACAAAAAAAACGCCAGGAGCTCCTTTTAGAGCTTTGGGAGAGAACTAAACAAATTCCAGTGAATCCAGAGATGAAGAAAGTATGATTGTATTGGATAGGAAACATGCTTAGAAAACCTGATAATAATGTAACTACTGGAACCCCAGGGTCAGATGAATAAATGGGAAGAAAAAAAAAGCCAGGAGACAGGAATTAGTGAAGCATAAAAGATGAGGAGGACAGTGTAAGCTGCTTGTGATAGCAACCAAAAAAAAAAAACCACATCAAATTTCCTATTTTGGGGGTGATAGACTGCAGAAGAAGGTGCAGCTGTAAATTCTTGTACTTCTAGTGCATATGTAAAATAATGCTGTGAAGGGAACATTTCTGAAGCAAGTTAATGAGTTCAGATATCTGAGCATTAATTAAAAGCAGATGGAGGATATTAAAAAAGAGAACGGGGGAATTTTAGAATATCTCAAGCCAAAGCAGCATTTCAGAAGACACAGTATTATACGCAGCACATTTTGGTCGGTAGCGGGAGTAATTTTAATATGTTTCAAATTATTTAGAGCTAGTCTTATTTGGAAGCAGTGGAATGATGATACACGGGACAGGAAAAAGACAAGAGTAATAAAGATATCTTGAGGGAAACTGATTTACAAAGAAAACTGATTGCCCACTTCAGAAGGAGACAGTCTGTATTCTTATTTTATAAGAAGGAGAACACTTGAGTACATTGTGACAGTAGGACAGTTGCTGGGGAAAAGAGGCAGAGGTAGACCAAAAGAGAAAATGCTGGACAGTTTAACATGATGGCATGGAAAAATCATCTCTGTCAGAATTGATTGAAACTACACGAGGCATGAGGTTGTGGATGGACATGACGGCCAACGTCACACAGCTTGGACTATCAGAAAAGAAAGGAGATCCAGCTGTGATGTTTATAGGGTGTAAATCATGGACAATCAGGAGATTTGCTTGGGGACTTTAGAGACTTTAGTTTTATTAATATTGTAAAGGCATGGGTGAAAAAAAAAGTACCTATTTATGCCTCGGTATCTAAAACTAAATTGTTGCTTTGCTTGAGTACTTACTACTGGAATTATACAACCTCAAAAGCCCAGCCCTCTGCTGCCTCAACTCATTGCATGTTGTTTATGTGTGCACACATATACACCAAATTACCTTTGTATGCATGTGTGTGTTCAAACATATCTCCGTGTGTGTACAGTAGTGGGAGAGAAAGAATTGGCTTACTGCCTCTCAACAGGTATGTGGTTAAAAAGCGACTAATTGCTGATTTGCTGCAACTGAATGTGTTGGGCTAAAGGCACAGGTATCAATCACAGTCTAGCTGTAAACCACAACATGACGTCCCAACTGTTATTTTAACCGGAGAACATGTGCATACCTATGCTATTTGGTTTAAATGTTATGCATCGCACACACATAGAAAAGGTATAAAGAAATACCTACAACAATAAAGGAGAATATTTTGGAGTGGTGTGAGATAACAAATGTAATCTTACCGTCCTTTTTAGGATGCAATTTTTCGTTATTTGAAGCCCTACTCTGGCTCATGCCAGGGGCCGCAATATAGCCCCGCCATAAATATGGCCTAATGGCTGAACGCGATTTCTGGGACCTCTCTACGGTGATCCTCATCCACATGGTGGCACATTGTGTCATTGGGTGTTTATCGCTTGTGTGATATCCTGGTGGGGTAGAAAGTCAGTCAGTCAGTGGTGTGTGTGTTTGTCTATGCATTAGAGATTACCCCGAAAATTTCATTCCATTTGTTCTTATATTGTTTACCAACTACTTTTTCTTTCAGCAAAAGGTGATGAACTGCTTCCGGGCCTGGGAAGATTGGGCAGTGTACCCCAATGATTTCCTGATCAACTTGCAGAATATCTTTCTGGGCCTGGTTTTGCCTGTCAAGCAGGTATGTATCTGTTGCTCGGATACTTCTGTTGTTTTGGCAAGTCTTTAAAACAAGTTTTTACATAAATTTTTTTTTCAAAGAGCGCCAGGTTTAAACAATTTTTTCTTCCTGTTTGGGAAAAGTCATGTGATAGCTGAGTGTATGCCTTGGTAGATATTTTATCTTCTTATAAGTATATTGTATAAAGGCATGTTGTGTTTTAGCTAACATTACATTATCTGTATTCAACATTACTAATGTATCTACAATAAACATTATTTATAATAGATATTACTATATCTATAGTAGATATTAATAATATTTAATATAAGTACATTATTGTTTACTTTAGGTAAGCACTGTTTACAGCCATACACTGCTACTGTTTAATGTAAATGCAATATTAAATGTGTGTAAAGTATCTTCTTCTTCTGCCTTTCTATCCCCCAATGGAGCATAGGCCCTCAACAAACTCACGCCAAGTCGTTCTATCCTTCGCCATTGCATGGAGCTCTCCCCTATGTCCTCCCAATCTTTCTAACCTCATTCTCCAGCTCTCTTCTCCATGTGTTTTTTGGCCTTCCTTTATTTCTATGCCCCTGTGGGTTCCAATGCAAAGACATTCTAGTTATGCTGTTCTCCTGTTTTCTCAGTATGTGCCCTATCCAACGCCGGTGTCTTTTCCTCACCTCCTGATCCACTGGAGCCTGTTTAGTTCTCTCCCAAAGTTCTACATTAGTTATTCTATCATACCATTTTATTCCCTTTATGCACCAGTTAATAAATGTCTGTAATTTATTAGTAATTGCCTTGGTTGTTCTCCATATTTCCGCCCTACACAAAAGTACTGATTTGACATTAGAATTAAAAATTTTTAGTTTAGTATTTCTTTTAATTTCTTTTGACCTCCACAAACTCCCTAGTGCTATGAAAGCCCCTCTTGCCTTTTGAATTCTTATTTTAATATCTCTATCAGTTCCTCCATCTTTATCTACATTACTGTTTAAATAAGTGTACGACTCCACGTCTTGGAGTGGGGTGCCATTAAGAGAAACCACATTACTATTTGCCTGATTTATTCTCATTATCTTTGTCTTTCCTTTATGGATTTTCAGACCAAGCTGCTGTGATCTCGAATAAAGTATATTTAATTTATCTTGTATCTGATTCCGTGAATGGGACAGAAGAGCAATATCATCAGCGAAGTCCAGATTATCAAGCTGTCTTGTAGGGGTCCACTGAATTCCATTCTTGGTGTTAGCAGTTACTGTTTTCATAGTCCAGTCTAAAGCCAGTAAAAATAAGAGAGGCGATAAAAGACATCCCTGTCGCACACCTGTTTTTATTTCAAATGCATCTGTTAGCTTTCCCTCATGAAGAACTCGACATTTCATGTCTTTATATGTTGCCTTTACTAAGTTGATAATTTTCTGTGGGATTCCATAGTGCCCCATCAATTTCCAGAGAGATTCCCTATCAATGCTGTCAAATGCTTTTTCATAGTCTATAAATCCAATGTACAGTGGTGAGTTCAGTTCAATGCTTTGCTCTATTATAATACGTAATGTGGCTATCTGGTCAGTACAGGATCTGTTTGACCGAAAACCTGGCTGCTCATCTCTTAGCATTTTATCCATAGCATCTTTTAATCTTTCCAAAATAATTCTACTTAATATTTTTCCAGGAACTGACAGCAACATAATTCCTCTAGTTTTCACACTCCTGTAGATCACCTTTTTTGGGCAGTTTCACTAGATATCCTTCTCTCCAGTCTGCTGGTATTTCTTCGGTCTCCCAGACTTTACTAAATAATCTATGTAGCAATTCTGTTGATGAGTTTATGTTGGTCCTGATGGCTTCAGCTGGGATACCACCTGGGCCTGTCGCCTTTCCTTCCTTGAGAAGATTTATAGCTTTTCTAATTTCCTCTTTGGATGGTACCTCACAGTTGATATCCAGTTCCATTTCTAAAGGCTGGATATCTGGGGGAACCTCTGGGCCTGGTCTATTTAGAAGCATTTCAAAATATTCAACCCATCTGTCCATTTGATCTTTAGTGTTAGTAAGTACCTTTCCTTGACTATTTTTGATTGATCCAGTTGGCTGACTATATTTACCTACTAATTTTCTTGTGTTACTGTAAAGTTCTCTGAGGTTTCCTTTTGCTGCTGCTGTCTCCGTTTCTTGTGCTAGATCATTTAGATATTTCACTTTATCTGCCCTTATATGCCTCCTAACTTCCTTGTTGGCTTATGTGTATTTCTCCTGAGCTCTAGCTTTAGCAGCTCTAGTTTTGCTATTGTTTAATTCTGCCTTTTTACTTTTCCTATCTTCAATCAGTTTAATGGTTTCTGGTGTTATCCATGCTTTATGTTTCCTTTCTTTCTTGCCAAGAACTTCTATGCAAGGTTCATTCCAGATTCCTATGATCTGATCCCAGCAGACTTTTGTGTTGACATCTTCAGCTAACTGCTGCAACACCTGGTACTTATTAGAGACCGTAACTGAGAACTGTTCCTTAATTTCTTTATCTCTGAGAAAGCCTACATTATATTGGTTTCTATGATTATAAGATGTTATATATCTTTTTAGTTTCAACTTGATTTTACTTACCACCAGGAAATGGTCAGTGAATACATCGGCACCTCTGAAAGCCCTGTGTAAAGTATACTGACGATATAATTGAAATGTGTACTGAAGATGCAATACAAAATAATTGTGAAACATTGGTCTCCCCACCGACCGCCCAAATACACACTAGCTCACTTCTGATTGGTCTACCTTTAGCCTATCTCACTTCTGATTGGTCAACCTAGAGCCACACGACCTTGGCAGAAGGTGCCTGTGGTGTTCCCCCCAATGCCGCTGATATCGCATGCTCTATATTTCAGCATTCCAGCACTTTAACACTACAAAAACATTGACAAACTGGCATTATCTTTCTCGGGATAAAAAAATTAATGCAGGACATTCCAGAAAGCAAACAGCAGAGCGGCACACCCATTAACTTCCAGCAAGGTAGACCAGTCCAACAAAGTTATCAATGGATTGTGACCTACCTTCTCTGTGTAGACTATTGTAAAACTAACCTAATAATCATTAATGTCTTTTCTTGTTAGAAAACTGTAGGCCGAGTTCTGACACTTATAGCCAACATCTGCTAATGTTATAAACACTGATGTATGTCCTGTGATTTCAGCCAGAGGAGTCACCAGAACACAAGGAGGACAAGCCAGTGGACATTGATGGAGCTCCCTTGGAAGATGTTGATGGCTTTCCTCTATCTGAGAGTGCCAAACCAGAACCTGACATTGACGGAGAGGAACTGAAGAGTGTCAACGGTCTACCTTGTATGTACTTTTCTGTCATTCTTGTTCTTCTTCTTCTCCTTCCTGCTGTGTTGTGTTGCTAGCCATGTCCTATCCACAGCCTTCTATCACCTGTAATTTCAATTATTTTGTTTACACAGATGTTCCTCCATGACATGATGCCAAAAACTCTAGCATCTTCTCTTTTTTTGTCTCATGCTTCTTCTGTTTTCTCCAACTTTCCTGCTGTCACAGTGTTCTCCACTTTTTCCTTTTTTTTTTTTTAAAGTATGTATGTTGTTTCATCTGTGGGTAATGTTTTTTTTTTTTTTTTTGGTATGAGTTAATATTGCTCAAGACACCTGTAGAACCTATTTTTAATTTAAAACGTTCATGATGTTCTCATTGTTTGTCTATAAAACCACACCTGCAACTTCAACATTATTTTTACATCAATCATCTGACATGTCCATGATTCATTTCCACTTTCGTACATTCCGTCTATGAGTTCCATGGTTCCCATTGGTGGGGGGCCCGGGGGAACAGGAGAGAATGGTCTGTCACTAAGAAACATAGAAAGCAGTGCTAGAGGTCACCCACACGAGTGATGGATAGATGGAATATCTGAGGCAGTGAACACCTGCAACAAGGTAGAACACACCAAACCTCGCTCTAGATGACACTGAAAGGCAGAAGGGGCATTAGGGAAAAAAAAGAAATAGAATACAATCACTGCCGCCCCTTTCATTGTTCATTTTAAAGATCATCTTCATCGCACATCGCAGCGGCGTGGGGGGGGGGGGGTGGGTCGGCACACGCAGCGGCGTGGGGGGGGGGGGGGGGGGGGGGTATTTATTAATGTGTGTGTATGTGTTTATGCAATTTGGTTGATGTATGGTATGCACATGTAGCTGTAAGTATGTGGGCGTATGTGTGCAAGTATGTATGCATGTGTGTAAATATGTATGCATTGTATGTAGGAATGTGGGTGTATATGTGAGTGTATATATATGTGTGTTTGATTGTGGGCATATGTGTGGATGTCTGTATCTGTGATTATATGTGTGTGTGTGTGTGTGTGTGTGTATGGAATGTAATGTGTGTGTGTGCATGTATGTCTTGTATGTGTATTATGTGCGTGTATGAATGTATATGTGTTGGTGTATGTATGGATGTATGTATGTATATGTTTGTTGGTGTGTATGGATTTATGTATGTATTCTGTATGCATGCGGATGTAGCCTATGTATGTATGTATGCATATATATGTCTGCGTATATGTATTAAGTGCTTGTATTTATGTATTATGTTTTTCTGTATATGAGTGCATGTGTAAATATAAGAATGTAAGAGTATGTGTACGTGTGTGTGTTTGAGTGTGTATGATTGTGTATACATGATGATTGTATGTATTTTATATAATGTATATTTATTTTATTATAAACATAACATGTAATATTGATAACAGGCATTAGTACTCTGAAAGATGAGTGCTTAGAAGGGCTGAATGTCAGATGGGCCTGCGCGTCCAATTTGTAACCCTTTGAAAGTTAAGTTTGTTCATTCGTTCATTTTCTCTCTCGCTCGCTCACTCACTCTAAAGAAAAAAATTGAATATAATATGTATTTTCTTATACTTCCCACTGACTTCAAGTGAGCGAACCAGACATTGATGGTGAGCCATTGCAACCTATAAAGAAGCCACCAGCACCAGCTGGCCCACAGCCAACATTCATCCGCTCCAAATGGGAGGAGGTAGATGAGACAGAGTTGCAGGCACAGGGTAAGAGTTTTGGCGGATTTCCTTCAGTCTTTAGAACAGGGGTTGCTGGGTTTTACATTTAAGGGCGGGAGTGAGACACAAGAGCTTTGAAGTGTAGGAACAGCAGCCAGTCCATCAGCTTGCTCATTGCCCTGCATTACCGCATGCTTTAGACCTGCTCTAGATCTGGCTGTTATCAAGTGAAGAAAGCCACTCGCTTCACAGCACACTAGTTTCTATTTTATTAACATAGTTAGTTAGTCTTTCCTCTTGTGTCGAGTGCGGCACATAGGGCATAGGTCATGACTCTCCATGCATGGCGGTTCGTTGCAATCTGTTGTAGGTCTTGGATGTTTGAGTGGCCCATGAGCGAGCCTTCCCTGATGATAGTTCTACGTAGGGTTTCCCTTGGTCTTCCACGAGATCTTTTCCCCTGTGATGTCCAAATGGGGGCTTGGTAAGGAAGTCTTGATTTATCCATTCTAAGGGCGTGGCCGACATAGTTTATTAACACACCCTAGAAAAAATTAAAAATGGTGGTCAATGCCTCCTTGAAATTCCAGAAAAAATCCTTTAAAAAACTTAGGTCGCTAAAAAATTGGTCAAAAAGTTATTTAGCTACATTTTTAATTAATTGGACTCCCATGTGCATTGTTGCGCGCGTAAAAATCCCTTGGCAGTTGGAAATCGAAAAGAGTAGCCTAACGGCACTGCCTGAGCAAAATTTGGAGTTGAAAATCTACCTAAAGTATTTCAGGATCCACGCTGGTGCTAGAAAGCCTGTGCACTGTGCTGAGCTTCTTTGTAATCAGACTTGAGTTACAAGGAGCGGAGTACTTATGGGTTACACCCGTGTGGCATGATGTTGATCCGTTGTTCAAAACTTTAAAACCTAAATACAATACAACTTGCAGTGATAAGCATGCCGCTTACTAGGCCTCTGAGAGCCAAATGTGGCCCGTTGGCCGCCTCAAATAGCCCTGGCCTAAAATATAGGAGTAAATGCTTAGCATTTTCATGAGCCAGGTGGGGGGGGACACATCTGAGTGCTTCTTATGCAGAAAAACTTGAACATATATTGGCAAAGTCTGCATGTACCCTGTCCTTATTTGAGTATGATGCACTGACAGTCGGTCTCTTGAGAGGCGATGAAGCGATTTCGGTTTAGCACTTAACCATTTATTGACAATGGCCGGAATGTTAAGTTAGTATTTGTGCTACCTGTTCACTTTTCATATTGCTGCATTGTCAAGGTTATGATGAATATCTTTTGTTTTAATAATTTTTAGCAATGACAACATCAAAATGGGAGATGCTAGAAGACCCGGATGATGGAAATAATGAAGAGGCTGGAGAAGACATTGACGGATTGTAAGTTTTATTTACCCTTTCAGTCCCAAATAGTCTCTACTTAAGCACAGTCTGCTCTGCTTCCATTGTATATGAGTTACAGGGCTCTCTCTGGGGGACTGCTATCTTTGGGTGGATTTAAGACATGTCTGAACCATTTGGTCTGTTGTTTCTTTATGTAGTTTTCCTTGTATTCTCATCTCTCATCCTGTCTCTTCTTTTTACATTTAGGATTTGTCGTTGACATGTCGTGTCTTCTCAGTTTTTCCTTTTGACTTTTCATTGCTGATTACAAACATTACTGGATGCTATAGACATCTTGAAAATTTACTTGGACCAACAGATAACAAAAGCAATATGCTCGTTCTCAAATTACTTTGCTTAGCCGCTTCTGTTCTACCTTGGGATGTAGAGGTTTGCCAGAGAGACCACCAGATGTCTCTATCAGCCATTTTCTTTCTGGCTTTGTTCCATTCCAGTCCTGTGTCAGAGACTGTCAGATATTGTTATCCCAGCAGACCCTGGGTCGCCCTTAAGGTCTGATTTCCTGGTTTTTAGCCTTTCATGGTGGCCAATCTTCTCCCATTCTGTATACATGTCCAAACCATCATAACTGGTCCACTTGGGTTTGTAAGGCCTGGGTTTTAAGATCTTGACGTACTGTCTGATTGCAATTTTCGTTTCTTATTATCACTTGGACCGCCCTTCTCAGATATCTCATTTCTGAGGCCTGAAGCTGGCTTCAATGAGCTCATTCTCATCCTCGACATTGAACAATACACAGCTGATCCCCAAAGTTGTTTTTGATCATTCTTTTTTAACTAGATTACACTTGTGATCCCCAGGCCTTTTGAAGAAGGGAAACAGTCGAATCAGCAGTCCGAGGAAAGTGAAGGCAGCCAACCAGAATCTCCTAACACGTCAAGGTCGTCAACGAAGGAAGACAGTGCATATAATCTAAAACTGAGCCTCATGTCTGAGGAGAGAAGACAAAAACTTCGAGAAATTGAGGTTGGTTGTGTTCACCTTTTCAATCAGTCAGTAAGTCCATTACAGAATGTGTTTCTTTCACGGCAGCCATGTAAGTTTTTTTTTTTCTAGCAAATTCTCCAGCTCTGTGTGCTTTCATTACCAGTGTATCTTCAGTGGCTTGTATCCATCGTTATAAAGGCTGGCGTATGCTTCTTTTCCCTGAAAATTCACCCTCCTCCACTGTTTTCCCCCAGGCCACTTTGACATTTGTCAGGGACAAAATATCTCAGCTTTGGAGACAGGATTCTGTTTATGAGCCTATTTTGTTTGATTTTAGGATCATGTAGGATGTTGGATTCCACTTTTAGTTATTAAAAAAACAACAAATATATATAAATATATAAAGTGGTAAATTAAAATATGTTTCTTATATTTCCACCGCCTACCTAGGAAGTAGATTAACTAATCTTATAAAGTAAAGTACCTTTTTTTTCACGCCACTGGGGCATATAATGCTAGCTCATATTTGTATCTACTAATCAGCACTTGGTGACCCCCATGTAGGTTCTGGGGCCCCATTTGTGGGGGGGGGGGGGGGAGATCCACTGCTTTCCCAGCTAGCATATCATAAAAGTCAACTGTTTAGGAGTGTTGAAGTTTTCTTCAAAATCTGTGTGCATCTGCCTGAGAGGCAAGGAACCAACAGACTATCAACTGTAAACTCCTGCCAACAGTTGCGGTTGTTCATCTTCTTCTGGACTTTGGTACAGATTCTGTTTTACAGATCTGGCTTTAAAATTAACCAGATATGTAAAACAAAATCTGGACCAAAGTGAGGAAGTAGACAAACAAGCACAACTGTTGACTATAGTTTTCACTTGGTGAACGCTAAGAAGGAGTGGGTGATGTGACCACCATCTGTTCTTTGTTGGTCCGCTATTACTGGGTGTCTCCTGAGTTTCTGTACATAGGAAAACAAAAGATATCACCAACGCCTTTACAAGCATAACTCCAGCTGCGCTTATAAATGTTTTTCAGTAGTGGGGGCACTCATAAAAAAGTTTTCAGAATGGTGGTAGTTATGTAGAGCAATCTGTATAAATAAAAATGGTTTTCATGGGGGAAAAAAACGGTTCCAAATTTATAACATACCCCAAACAGGAAATTCCTGTGGGAATTCCACAGCTGACTTGACAGTCCATTATTTCAAGGGGTGCAAGTGTGCTGCTGTCTGCTGCTGTTGTTGCATCTAGTGTCTTATGGTGTGACATATTTCTGTCTGTTGGTGCGCATTTGGCTGCTTGTTGATGCGCAATTGGCCGGTCTACAATATTAGTCATGTTTTTAGAACATGTCAACATGTGAGTGTATAGCGTAGTTGGTATCACATCGGCCTTATAAATGAAAGATGCTGCGATCAATCCCTATGTGATGCGTTTCATCCATTGTGAACTTTAAAAAAAAAATGAAATGTAAAGTGTGTGTGTGATTTTTGTTGTCACAGCGGTTTTTTTTCCACATCACGTAAAATGTGCACTTTGGCTATGTGAATATGTGCAATCGCAGGAAATGCCTTGGGGGGGGGGGGGGGGGGGGGGGCTAAAAAGGGCAAATCAGTATAGATGTATACTGCTGGGTTCATGCTCGACCTCCACAAACGTTCGATGCATTGCGTATGAGCACATGTAGTTGGGTCGACAAAATTAATGGAGTGATTGACGGTAAGATGCGTCAATCCAGGAATATTCTCAATTCCATTGTATGCACGCCACATTTCGGAAACTACTGTCGTTCCGGGTCTGATGTTTGTTCTAATGATCGGCAGAAGCGTCTCTGCTTTTCTGTCTGGGACGCAGACCAGAAAGCATTCGCCCGTCTCGCGACGGACTCCGCCAAATACCCACTGTTGTGGAAACACACGTCCAACATGATTTTTACGTCTTGCAAAGAGACTTTCATCGATTTCAACAGTGGTGTTCTCTCCGCTGATCACTGCAGCATTCAATAACAATGTATTGGCACAAACCTCCCGTAAATAGTTGCTCCATTCCATGGTCGCAGTAGGCGACATGCTCAGCTCTACTTGGCAAAATTGAATGCTTGTCATCTCGTGAGACCAGCAGTATATAAACAGAATGATCTGTCTATACAGGAGCTGCGACCCTTCCAGCCATGTTCCTTGCCATAGTGGTATGTCTAGACGACAAGTGGACTTTCTACAGAGCCAACGGTCGTGACTTTCAGACAGCGATAGCAGCATCTGATGGTTGTTTCTGCAACTTCTGTTTCTGTGCAGAATGCCATGCTGTTGCAGGAAGGCAATGCTGCTTTCTTTGTCTTGTACAGATGCTACTAGTTGTAGAAAAATTCACCGTGACTGCTGCTGGAACCATCGGCAACTGACTGACGCGGCAAAGAGCGGTAAACACACGACATCAGTGTTGCCACTTTTCTTTGACAAAAAACATCCAGAACGGAGTCAAAAAATATCTTAAAATATCTAAACTTGTTTTTCTATGTATGGAAATTATGAGACACCTTGTACAGAACTGACAACACAGACAGCACTTCCTTTCAGCTACCGACCAATGTCGGTTAGTGGAATGAATCTTGTTCTGTTTGTGTGATGTAGGTGAAAGTAGTGAAGTGTCAAGATGAATCTTGGTCTGTTTGTGTGATGCAGGTGAAAGTAGTGAAGTGTCAAGATGAATCTTGGTCTGTTTGTGTGATGCAGGTGAAAGTAGTGAAGTGTCAAGATGAATCTTGGTCTGTTTGTGTGATGCAGGTGAAAGTAGTGAAGTGTCAAGATGAATCTTGGTCTGTTTGTGTGATGCAGGTGAAAGTAGTGAAGTATCAAGATGAATCTTTTTCTGATTGTGTGATGCAGGTGAAAGTAGTAAAGTATCAAGATGAGCTGGAGGTAGGGAAGCGTTCTAGAAAGTCTGGCATGAGCATGCAGGAGCAGGTGGAATATTATAGAAGAAAGCTGCACAATAAGGTGAGTTTGTCTTGCGATTGTAGAACTTGGTGTGTCTTTTGCATGCAAGTATTGCCATAAGGGTTCCGAGGCCTCATTATAAACAAGAACAGACTCACTGCCTACTCAACAAGCATGTCATAGGAGTCAACTGTTTTTTGGGGGATGTCCTTCAAAGTACATCTGCCTCAGAGGCGAGAAACCAAAAGTCTGCATGCAAAAAAAAAAGTATGATCTGTCAGTCGGATGTGCACGCAACACTCAGTTTCTGGGACAAGACTAAAGTCAGGAGGGATGTGGTGAGTTGACATTGCTTGATGAGGGATGTGGTCAGCTGACATCGCTTGATTAGGAATGCGGTCATGGCATCGCTTGATGAGGGGTGTGGTGGGTTGACATCGCTTGATGAGGGCTGTTGTCATGACATTGCTTGATGAGGAATGTGGTCATGACATTGCTTGATGAGGGATGTGGTGGGTTGACATCACTTGATGAGGGCTGTTGTCATGACATCGCTTGATGAGGAATGTGGTCATGACATTGCTTGATGAGGGATGTGGTGGGTTGACATCGCTTGATGAGGGCTGTTGTCATGACATCGCTTGATGAGGGATGTGGTCATGACATCGCTTGATGAGGGATGTGGTCATCACATCGCTTGATGAGGGCTGTTGTCATGACATCGCTTGATGAGGGATGTGGTCATGACATCGCTTGATGAGGGCTGTTGTCATGACATCGCTTGATGAGGGATGTGGTCATGACATCGCTTGATGAGGGCTGTTGTCATGACATTGCTTGATGAGGAATGTTGTCATGACATCGCTTGATGAGGGATGTTGCTATGACATTGCTTGATGAGGGATGTTGCTATGGCATTGCTTGATGAGGGATGTGGTTGGTTGACATCCTTGATGAGGGCTGTTGTCATGACATCGCTTGATGAGGGATGTGGTGGGTTGACCGCTTGATGAGGGCTGTTGTCATGACATCGCTTGATGAGGGGTGTTATGGGTTGATCGCTTGATGAGGGCTGTTGTCATGACATCCCTTGATGAGGGATGTGGTCGGTTGACATCATTTGATAAGGGATGTTGTCATGACATTGCTTGATGAGGGATGTGATCATGACATCTCTTGATGAGGGATGTGGTCAGTTGACATTGCTTGTTGAGGGAAGCAGTTCTGACATCACTTGATGAGGATGTCATCATCATCCTGCTGGCCATCATTACTTCCCACAACATTTCCTTGCACCCATTATTAAACTGTCACACACTAACACACACATATATATATATATTGCTCATAATCTGCTCAATGGCTTCAGTTAATTAGTGTGAGAAATATTATCTTGTGGCTCATTCTGTTATAGATTAGTTTAAAGGTAATGGCCTCTGCTGGTACCCTGAGCAGATCTGGCTTGATTCCTCGACTGTAATATAGAGATATGAGTTAACTTTCTCATATACTGTAATGAGATGGTTACAAATTGCTTTGCTTAAACAAATAAGGTAAATGCATTGACATCGCTCTGTAAGCCACTTGGAGTGGCTAGTGTTATGTGAAGAGTTGATGTCTTGATGTTTATAGAAGATAAGTGTAATGTTTTTCCCCTTTTTATGTTGGTCGTTTAGCTTTCGGACATGTTCGATTCACCTCTGCGGGACAGAGACAGAGGCGACAGCTCAGGAGGCTCCAGAAAGCGACATCGCTCTAGGTCCAGTTCTCCCGTCAGACGAGGAAGGTCATCGGAAAGAAGTAGCACTCCCAAAAGAAAAAAGAAAGATAAAGATAGAAGGTACAATGTCTTCTGCTTCTTCTGCTCTTCCTTTTGTTATCTCAGTGAAGTGTTGGGAGGAAATATAAGGACCATCTGTATGCTACAGTTAGTCTTCATTTCTCTATGGTTGTTCTGGTTGCCTGTGGCAATTGTTACTAGGGCATTCTTATCAAATCATCATCATCAAGGGCCTTGGCAGCTGGCGTTGGTGTTTCTGCTTCTCCACAGATCTCGGGCTTTGGTGTTCTGGATCCATTCCACTGATGATATCCCTCCATGCCACTGTCTTAAGCCACCCACCACAATTTCTCTTGGTCTGCCTCTGCCTCTTCTACCAGTGATCTCTCCAGTTGTCACGATATTCTCCAGTGCTCCTTTTCTCCTCACATGACCAAAGAGCATTCTTTGTCTTCTACTCATTGTTATAAATAATGTTCTACTTTCATTAACCATTTCCAGGCACTCATTGTTATCTATTCTGGCAGTCCAAGGTATTTGTCTTAACTGATGGTTAAATAATTTTACGTATTGCAGTATATTGACTTGTATGACTGGGTTCATTCGGAGCGTCTGTTAATTTTTTGTCTACTGTGGATCAGATAGTTGATATTATAGCTCTTAAATTACCTGGCTAAAATGACGAATAACAGAATATGCTGGAAAAGGTATGGTTTTTTTGTCTGTTAAGTTTTTAATGTTTATTTAGGTGTCAAAAATTAGGCTAGGGTGAGTGTTGACTAAATTTGGCTTGCTGCTGTTAGCGAAGCGACTGCAGTTTTTAAATTATATTTATGGTCTGGTTTATTTGCACTAAGTGTTTGGCTAAGATTGTGGTATGTGTACCAGGTTGCTGGCTCGGTGTCTCTAACCAGATTGTTGTTGTTGTTGTTGTTGTTGTTGTTGTTTTCGATCCAGCGGCGCATGAGCTTTCGACCTTTGGCCCAATGCCATGTAGTGGAATTTGCATGTTTTCACAAGCTGTTCTTTTCCTCCGTACAAGGTGTTCCACTTGTCTGGTCTCGGAGGGAGTAGCGTTCTTCTTGTCTCACTGAGTTCTGGGCACCCAAAGAGATGGTGTTCAACAGTTTCGTAGGGGTAGTTACATAGCTGGCACTCTGGGGAGTGTTGTGGCTGTATTCTGTTTAAGTGTCCATTGAGTGGAGTATGCTGCGTTCTAAGTCTGAAGATGGTGGCCTGGTCCCTTCTTGTTAGATGGTTAATGCTGTCATTAGGATCAGGGCCAGACATATGTCTATAAACCTCTCTTCCAGTGTCTCCCATGGCCCATCTGTTCAACCAAGTCTCTTTGTTTATAGCTCTTATCAGTGTTTTTGCTGTCTGGAGGGTTGTCGCTGTAGGTGGTTGTTCTTGTGTTGCTCCTTTCTTTGCCAATCTGTCAGCTCTGTCAAAAGACAATCTCTAACCAGATAAATTGTCCTCTCCTTGTCTGGGTTCTGTTAAGGTCCTGTTGTTCTAAGCTTCCATGTATTATCTTCTGTCAGGTTGAGTCTTCCTATTGTATTTTATTTGTATGTCTTATTATGTGCTCCTTCATCTGTTCCTTTCAATTGTTGGTCCTTTCTGTTTGCCAGGCATACTTTGTTAGAGACCAAGCTCTCGCAACTCAATTATTGTTTTAAAAATTGTGAGTATTTAAATTGCCTAAAGTTCTGAAATCAGTTTTTGGTTTTGGATAGATCCGAAGTTGTAAAAATACATTTGCGGTTGATCATAGAGATCTCAGCTGAGGTTTTTTAAAACTGCCATTAAATCTTGTTGAGGTGACCACACCATCTGTCATTCTATCAAAAAGTGATTCATTTATAGTTTATATGTTTGTGTAAGCCAGACGTGATGAATATTCAGCACTCCTTCATCTTATGCAGGACTATTCACCTGGCAGCCTGTGGGCTAGGTCCGGCCCACTGAGGCCTAGCAAATGGCCCGCAGATCATTTACTGTTGTATGGTATAATTGATCTTTCTAGCTGGGGCCTCTGGCCCACAACAATCCCCATGTTCAAAATTAGGGCCTGTGGGTAAACTTAGTTGAATAGCCCTGACCTAGTGTGTGTTTGTGAGAGAGAGATAGAGGGGGGGGGGGGGAGGGAAAGAATGAGAGCACATGTCATATTGACCATATTGCATGTGTGCTTGCAGTGACATTTGAGGGTGCATGTGTGTGCATAATTATATAAATTGACATCAGGAAAAGAGAGAAAGCAAGGGAAAGGGGGGGGGGGGAGAGCACATGTTTCTTGGCACGTGTGTGATTATGTATGTGTGTACGCAATAGCATTTAAGGGTGCTCATGTCCATAATCATATGAAGTGACATGAGAGAGAGAGAGAGAGAGAGCGCAAGAGGAACTTGTTCACATGTGTGATAACTCATGGGGGCATGCAGTGATATTTGAGGGTGCCTTTATAAAAGTAAAGGACCCTTTTCCACTGGGCATATAGGGCTAGACGTATATATTTTAGTGACCGATGGGCAGTCGGTGGGTGTGTGGTCAACATCACACCAGTTACCTTTACTTCCTAGGACTTTACCTGGTAACCCATTTAAGGCTGGGTTGATCTGCAAGCCAAGATAATTGTTTTTGAAAGGTCCGGAGAGTGCATACTTATATCAACTGACATTGGAGAGACAGAGAAAGACAGAGCAAAAGAGACAATATGTAATTATGTTTGTAGGCAATATAATTCATGTTGCATGGGTGCAGGATTATTTCAGCTGATATGAAAGAAAGAATGATTACTAATCTAATAATTTGAATTCTTTTCTGACTTTAACATTTTTTTATCTGTGATTCTTTTCATTCAGACGGTAAGTTTTTCCTCTTGTGCACACCCAGTATATCGGTCATTGTAACCTAAGCTTCTTGTTTTAATGAAGTTATGTAATTTGATCTCATGTAGCTGCAGTGTGCTTTAAAAAATATATTTAAGAAAATTATTTAAAATTGTATTATCTTGACAAAATGAAACAATTTCTTGTTAGTAACAAAATTTTGTGTGTTTTTGTTTCCCCCATTTAGCCCTAAAAGATCTAGGCGGTCAAGGTCCAGATCACGGTCACCACGAAGAACCTCTAGGAGCCCAGGGAGAGAGAGAAAACACAAGTCTCGGAAACATAGGGATTGATCATTGATCTGTGTTGACTTTTTTTGTGTGTGGCTTGCTGTATAGTTACACTGTGCACTATTTGTTGAGGTGTTATGAAATAGTGTGAGCAGAGCGAATGCATTGAAATGTAAATTTTTAAAGTGCTTTTGCATCAGAAGAGAAAATATCCTAATTGTGTGAACGTGGAAAGGGGGGGGGGTGGTGTTGTTAGACATTGTGTTCCTTATAAAGAGGTTAGTATGGTTGTCTTGAGAATCTGGGTATGTGTGAGAATGGTGGTTAAGTTTGATAAATAAGAATGTAGACTAGCCCACACTGGAAACATGTATTGTCTCTTTTAGAAAGTGTGAAAAGAGTTTTGCCAAATTATATGTAAGTAAACTAAATGATTGGCATCCGCAGTGCATGTCATAAAGCTAGTGAAACTGATATCTGTCGTAAAACTAGTAAAATTGACATCTGGAATATTTGCCTTGGAACTAATGAGATTGACATTTGCAGTTTATGCCATAAAACTAGTGAAGTTGACATCTGCAGTGTATGTGATAAAACCAGTCAAATTGACATCTGCAATGAATACCATAAAACTGATGTAGTTGGAATCTGTGTTATGTTACACAACTAGGGAAATTGTCATTTTGCTGTGTGTGCCATAAAATTAGTGAAACTGACATCTACAGTACGTGACATTAAACCAGTATAAATTAAGTCTGCTTTATAGGTAAAAAAAAAAAAAAAAAGGACCCCCTTGAGGTGTATAGGGCCACCTAAAAAGCATACTGTAGGCAGCTACAGTGTTTTCCCAAAATTCATACCCACTCCTAAAATAGGCCTTAGCACGATATGTTAGGATGCTTTTAGTATGAGCCCTACCCCTTAAACTAGGCCCTAGTTAGGATCCTCAGAATAAAAAAATGTTCCGCCCGAAATGGAGTGGCAAGAAATTCAGGCCGGAATTTGGGATTTTAAAAATTATGAAGATGTTTCACACAAAAAAGATGACCATATCTGCCTTGTCATGTATCAATTCACCACCCTGTGGTGCAGATCTGGCCAATCCGCCTGCTTATGACCCTTTACGCTGGCATAACCTGGAGAAAAGTTCCAAAGTATGCTCACTACCCGTGAAGCTTGCCACTTTGCCCAAAGCATCCCTGTCTTCACCTTTCTCAGCATGCTTCCAGAGTCTGTTATGTGAATAAAAATGGTTGTCATAACATAATGTATTTTTCCCTGTATTTGAAAACTTAAAAGACACCCTCTACACAACTGTACATACTTCTAATTTATAATTTCCTTTGAATTCTCTTTAGGATGATTTGCAAAAGAAGTTTGCTAGCATGTCCTCTTAGTGCAGTAGAACAGTAGTTGGTGCACAATTTTGAATGTCATTCCTTTGGGAGAGAGATGTAGTATGTTCATTTGTCTACTTTAAAAAGTGCAGTTGCAGCTCTTAACACGTACAGCATAACTGATACAAACACTGGCTTCTTCTCCTGCCAGATTGCTCCATTGGTATATGCTGAGAGAAATTTAAATATATATATATATATAAATAAAAGACCTATGTATTGATAATGTATGTTTATCATTGCCTGAACTCTCTGGGTACCAAGGGATGCATTATGCATTGACTTAACTCTTCTGTGGCCCGGCTTGCTAGCTCAGTTGGTTAAACCTGACTGCGTGGTGACCTGGTGATGAACTCCTTGTGGTGCTGCGGGTTCACGCTGGGGGGTAGGCAGAAAAGCCGAATTTCTCCCACATTTACAGTATCTGTCATGGAACCAAGACCAAAGTGTAACTCATGGTTTCTAGATATTTAAAAAATGAACACACAAAAAACTTCTGTGATGTGGAAATATTTAAGGATTTAAACTGGACAAGTGTTAAAGGCCCCCTCCTTTACCACATTCACTGTCCATCTGTTTCTGTATATGTTAAATATGGTGCCCTTGATAACTATGACTACTTGAACGGTCATCACTAACCATCAGCTCCTGGTAACTTTGATACTGTCAGTACTGGAATTTGGTTAATCTCCTTTGTGATGTCACACAGTACGACTTCCACTGTTGAGAATTGTTGCACCCGTCTGAGTGAGTTCCGGGGGTCCCATTTGGGGTAAAAAAGAATAGAACCACTGCCCTTGTAACAAGCATGTAGTAAAACAGGATTAATTATGCTGGGACGAAAGCACAGATATCGCAGTCTAGCTGTAAACCACAAGATATTGTGCCAACTGTCCATCTAAGTGTGAGTGCAAAAGAAGAAGGGAACTGTTGCAAGAAGTGCCATGAACTAGGAATCATACTGAAGAAGAAGCACTTTTAGTATGCCTGAAAAAGGTGTCAGGGAATGTGGTTGTCTGAAAAAAAAAAAAAAGGATTGAATAGAAACCTTTAAAGAGCAACTGTTGCTGTACTGTGTTTTAGAAAGAATGTAAACTGTGCCACAAACTGAATATGTGGTCAGCTCTGTGAGTGTAGAAGAAGAAGGGAACTGTTGCATGAAGTGCCATCAACCAGGAATCATAGTGAAGTAGAAGCAATTTTAGTATGCCTGAAAAATAAACTGTCACAAACTGAATATCTGGTCAGCTGTGTAATTTGTTTCACAGTCCTGTTTTCATTCTGTCCTTTTCTGAAAGTTGAATGTGTTTAATTTCTGGGAATACATTTAACTACAACTAAAATGATCAGCTATGACAGTTATCACATGTTGCAAAGAAATGTGTTGTATGTAGTGGGGCTTGATGAAAGTCTTGTCGTGAATCATCTGTTCTTTTAACGCCTTACAGGTAGGGCACATCAGCAGTGATGGGGCTGTATTATAGCAGTTACCTTGATTTGGGGAGTTTGGAGAGAGAGAGAAGGCGTGTGAAATATGTTTGTTAGTAATCAGCATGATATAGGTAACTTTAATGAAAATTGATTGATGTCTGCAGTTTTCATATCATGTATATGATGTATGAATTGCTCGTCTTATAAACAGTTTTATTCTAAAATCATGAATGTGTTTATTTTTGTATTTTTTTAAAATTCTTTATGTTTGTTTGTTTTTAAATTTATTCTTTGCCACAGTGGCTTATTGGTAGATAAAGTGAGGTTCATTCTCTAAGATAGGCTGTAATTTTTTTTTTCTGCAGCCGGTATGGCTCTGCCGCATAAATTTAGATAAAAACTGTCTTAGCTCTGCGGCATAAATGTAGATAAAAACTGTTCTAGCACTTCGGCATAAATGTGGATTAAAAACTGTCTTAGCTCTGCGGCATAAATTTAGATAAAAACTGTCTTAGCTCTGCGGCATAAATGATAAAACTGTCTTAACTCTGGCATAAATGATAAAACTGTCTTAACTCTGGCATAAATGATAAAGATGTCTTAACTCTGTGGCATAAATGATAAAACTGTCTTAACTCTGGCATAAATGATAAAGATGTCTTAACTCTGTGGCATAAATGATAAAACTGTCTTAACTCTGTGGCATAAATGATAAAACTGTCTTAACTCTGTGGCATAAATGATAAAACTGTCTTAGCTCTGCGGCATAAATGTAGATAAAAACTGTCTTAGCTCTGTGGCATAAATGATAAAACTGTCTTAACTCTGTGGCATCAATGATAAAACTGTCTTAACTCTGTGGCATAAATGATAAAACTGTATTAACTCTGTGGCATCAATGATAAAACTGTCTTAACTCTGTGGCATAAATGATAAAACTGTCTTAACTCTGCGGGATAGATTTAGATAAAACTATCTTAAATAACTCTGCTGCATAAGTGTAGATAAAACTGTCTTAACTGTGCAGCATAAGTGTAGATAGATATCTTAACTCTGTGGCATAAATGATAAAACTGTCTTGACTCCACTGCATAAGTGTAGATAAAACTGTCTTAACTCAGCGGCTAAATGTAGATAAAACTGTCTCAACTTTGCATCATAAATGTAAACTATCTCAACTCTGCTGCATAAGTGTAGACAAAACTCTCTCAATTCTGCGGCATAAATGTAGATAAAACTGTCTCAACTCTGCTGCATAAGTGTAGATAAAACTGTCTCAACTCTGCTGCATAAATGTAGATAAAACTGTCTCAACTCTGCTGCATAAGTGTAGATAAAACTGTCTCAACTCTGCTGCATAAGTGTAGATAAAACTCTTAGCTCTGCTGCATAAGTGTAGATCAAACTCTTAATTCTGTTACACTAAGAAAACTAAATGAGGAAGAATGTGGGAGTGAAGAATTAGGTGTGGATCAGTCAAGGAGGAACTGTGGGAGAAAGAGAATGTGTGTGTGATCCGTGTACTAGGGAAACAGCCTCTACACCTTACGGCTGTTGCTAAGAGAGACGGAGCAGCTTTGGATATGCCCGGTGTGCAATGGTGTCAGTTCTCAATCAATAAGCCAACCCGATTAGTGGACCACCAGGACATTTGTGACCACCACTAGCTGAAGAACACCGCTTTAAACCAAAAATTCAAAACTATGGAAACTTTCTTTTTCCCACAACGTTGTTTTTGAACAACAGATCAACTACACGGGTAGTAACCCATAAGTGCTCCGTTCTTCTATATCGAGTCTGAGTCCGAAGAAGCTCAGTGTGGTGCACAGGCTCTGTAGCACCGGTGAGGTGCCTAAAATACTTTAGGTAGATTTTTAACTCCTGATTTAGCCCGGGCAGCGCCGTTAGGCTACTCTTTTCGATTTCCATCTACCAAAGGATTTGTTTAAACAGTGTACATTGGCGTCCGATCTCACTACGCAGAGACCAGGGGGAATTACTAGAAGCACAAATCCACGTGAAAAAATCCCAGCCCTTACCGGGGATTGAACCCGTAACCTCTAGCATTCAATACCGACACCATGCGTTGAAACCACGCAGCCCCCCCCCCTCCCCCCATACAATCAAGTTCGGCACACCACTAATTTAACGCATTTTAAGATATACTTGTCTTGGGCAGGCAGAATGACTATTTATCTGTGTCCACCCCACCAACCCAGATGTGGATCCGGAAAG